CGCTGACAGGAGTTTAAGGGACAGACTCAGGTGCCATGGGTAAGCTGACAGATGACTGGCAGATGCACCAGCTGTACCTCCTACTGTGCCAACTTGCCGAATTTTAGCTGCCCGGTGCTCTGCTCGTTGTTGTGAGCGTCGCTCCTCTGCCCTCCGTTGTTGTTGACGGCAACTGTCTCCAAGTGCCCACTAGCGTCCTTCACAAATCACCATCACCACCACCACATGTCGCTACCAAAGCGTTCTCCCCTCCGCCAGACCCAGCAGCTGCTGCACAGGAGATGTACAGCGACCTCCACAATCTGCCCTGACAGTGTCCAACTATCTGCTCTCGATGAGACCCAAAATGTTAGAACCAGACAACGCAACAACAAAAAACAATCATCATCATCTTAGTCCAAGGTCAATCCACTTATGGATGAAAGCCTTCCTGAGACATCACCATCTCTCACAATCCTGTGATGTAACAATCCACTTAGCACCTGCCCAACGCCGCTGATCTCATTGATCCATCTCCTCGGTGGATGTGCTCTGACGTATTCCTGCTCCTGACTGCCACTCCATCGTTATGTTTGACCACAGGCCATCATCGTCTAAACTAAACAATGTTTTATTTTATAGCTCTTTTTCAGAAGCGACAATTGGCCACAAATGATAGCTCAACTAATTGGCTTATCATCATCGTGGACATTTGTAGCAGCCAAATACTCAAAACTAACGTTGATTCTAAATGTGGAGTGCAAAACCAGAGAACCCGAACAAAAATCCACACGACCACGGAGAGAGCGAGACATGCAAACTTAAAATATACACAGCAGGCATCAGGGTTGTGATCAAACCCACGACCTCCTGTATACTAGGCGAGGGAGTTAACATCTAGCCACCGTGGTGCATCTTGCCCAAGCCCACTGACTTCTCTTAACAGATTGAATGATGTCATTAAGCAAGCATGTGTTCGCTAACAAACACCACACTTTATATATAAAAAAGTAAACATTTTTTAGGCAACTCAACACAAAAATATATAAACTATCCCGGCTGTACTGTACTTATTAAACCAACCCGACTGTACTGTACTTATTAAAACAAAGCCTGGAATTGGCGATGAAACCCAAAAAAGTTTGAAACGAGTCCAGCGTTGTATTGTTTGATTAAAGTAATGCTGCTTGGCAGTGCTGTTCCAGAATGCCCATATGAGGCTGACGAGACGAAATATATATATATTTTTTGGCTCTCATGTGGGAAGAGGCCAACGGAAGTGGCATTCGTTGAATCACCGGTAATGGCATCCAAGTCGCTAATGCAGCCCACCCCTCTCCCCGGTCTAGACGCACACCATCCACGCGGCCCCTTAAACAATCAGTCACTGTTCTTCCCACACATGACATCGGCGCCAAAACAGGGCTGTGTCTCACACTAGCTGTACAAAAAAAAGAGTGTGAACCCATCAGTACGAATAACTTAAGCTCGCGATGTGATAAAAAAATAAGAATAGACTTTTACCCTTTCTGGCAATGAAACAGGTTGTTAATGCAGACTTGATGCACTGCAATAGATATCTATTTGGTGTGTGAGCATCGTTGACATTTGTTTTATTGCCAGAAAAAGGGTGCAGTCTATACTCATGTTTTAATCGCTTTGATACTGGTAAAAGGGTCCCATTGATATAAGCTCACGATTGCTTCCCTATCACGTAAGGATTTCTGTGTTTCACTTTGTCTACACAGGATGCCATACTAATTTAAGCCAAGAATTTGTCCCGCGCGTGACGTCACTCCACATGAGCCCCCCCTCATTAATAATCATGAGCGGGTGACGTCACTCCACATGCCGCACCCCTCCCCAATGACCATTAGCGCGTGACGTCACTCCACATGGGGTAACCCCCCTCATTAATAATCATGAGCTGAACAATTTTTCTATTGAATCTTTAGATTTTACTGCAATATACACCCGTCCTTGGACGGGCAAACAAGCTCGTGTTTGATAATGGAGTGGCAGCCAAGGGATGGAATCACGTGTTCAAGAGGAACATTCTTGGGGCCGCCACGTGGGCGAGATGTTAACAACCTCGTCGGCTATACAAGGCGTCGTCACGGGCTCGATGCCGATCGTGACGCTTCTATATTTGGAGTTTGCATGTTCTCCACGTGGTCGCGTGGATTTTTCTCCGGGTCCTCCGATTTTCCCCCTCCACATTTCGGACCAACGTCACGTGTCTTAAGAGTATTTTCTTGCTGCTATACATTGGCACGATGATGATGATAAGCCACCTCGTTCAGTTATCATTATGTAATAGCCAGGTCTCTTCTGAAAAAAGGGCTATATAGATCAGAGGGCCTTCCTTGGTAAAGTACAAAATAGTTTAAATATAGTTCTCCAAGATGGGACGATGAAAGCAATTCGCGTGCATTGTTAATATCGCAGGGTAGCGAGATGTCGCGAAGGAGGCTCAGGGAGGTTGACCTCTGCCGGCCCCCTAGCCCCCCCCAGTCTGGAACTTCTCACAGCCATCATCAGTGCCTTCGACTCCTTGTATGTACAGTATGTTGAACTTCCTTCGCACCATACGTAGTCAACCGTGCTAATCGGAGGTGCCGTGAGCGGCAGGGCAGAAGGGTGTGCCGCTGATGACTTCACTTCATTCCCTCCGATTAGCACGGCTGGCCATGTACGGTGCGAAAGAGGTTCAACATGCACACTCATCTCTCTGCCTATGACCGACTGCCTCCCTCTCCTCCCCCATTGACTCACAGAGAGCGTCACTGACTCACAGAGATAATCAGACTCACCTACATCTATAAAATAAACTTGCCCATTGTGTGTGTGTGTGTACAGTGTCTTGAGATGCGGTCACATTGAGACGCCACTACGTAAATCCACATTGTACTGCACTGACTTACAGAGGCCAACTCACTCCGAAACTAAAACACTGACAAGAGACCCATACACACACACACCATGGAACCCATAGCCTAATAAAGACCCTGAAACTCACAGAGACCCATAGACTAACATAAGAGATGCAAAGGCACTTACCACACACTATACAAACTTAAAAAAAATTACCAGGTAAGGCCCCCTGAGCTAAATAGCTATTTTTCAAAAGCAACCTGGCCACAAGTGATAGCTCACCAAACTGGCTTATCACATGGATTTTTTTCGAGCACCCAAATATTCTAAACACGTGACGGCGATTCTAATGTGGAGGGGAAAACCGGAGGACCCGGAGAAAAATCCACGCGACCACGACGAGAGACACCGCAAACTCCAAAAATACAGCAGCAGGCGTCAGAGTTGGGATATAACCCACGACCTCCTGTATAGCAGGCGAGGTAGTTAACATCTCCTAGCCACCGTGATGATGAGAGACACCGCAAACTCCAAATATACAGCAGCAGGCGTCAGAGTTGGGATATAACCCACGACCTCCTGTATAGCAGGCGAGGTAGTCAACATCTCCTAGCCACCGTGATGATGATGAGACACGCAAGCTCCAAATATACAGCAGCAGGCGTCAGAGTTGGGATATAACCCACGACCTCCTGCACACCAGGCGAGGTAGTTAACATCTCATAGCCACCTTGGCGCACACGAGACACCATATACTTAGACAAGTCGACTTACAGGAGACACGTAGACTTAGAGATATATAGACTCAGAGACCCACGGAGTCAGACAGACCCATCGGCTCGCACTCAATCCGACAACTCGCTCTCTACACAATATTCCGACTGTGTGTGTGTGCTGACGCTACACACAAATCCCCGTTGATGCTGATGCGTGTTAAACGGCATTCGTCGTAACGGCTGACGATGGCGCCAATGTTGCCGATGGCTGCAACGTTGTTCGTGCGGGGAGCGACGCTGCTCACAACAACGAGCGAAGCGCCGGGCGGACAAAGCGCCGCGAGTTGGCACGGCAAGGCCCACGCACAGGGCGGGGTTGCATCTCTGGCAGTCATCTGAGCGAGGCAAACCCATGGCAGCTGGGTCTAGACTGGTAACCGCGAGCCCTGTTCGACACTTTCACGTGGCCTTAAAGTGCACCTAGCCTGGCACAAGCGCCCGGGTGGACAGTCACCGCCACTTGGTGGCGAATTGCGGTTGTTGTTGTTGACGACGATTTTGTTGTTCATGGGGCCGATGCTGTTGATTTTATTCATGGGGGCGATGGTGACGTTCAAGTTAACGATGCCCACATATCGATTAAGAGTAGCTGCTGTCTGCATGTTCAATCCACTGCTGGATGATGGCCCCCCTCTCTCTTCCCCCCCCCCCCCCCCCATGTTAATCAACAAAGTTCCTCTCGACCATCAACCACCGTTGCCCAACTTCCATCGTGGGCGATATATTGGCACGTAAAATTAAGATCGATCGATTTAATCGAGAACCCCACAGATACCAATAGGCACGCGTGAACAAACCAAAAAGTCTCGACACGTTTCTAACTGTTCACCTTTAATTGCTTTGCAACAACGTTAAAAACGTCGCCTAAAAGGCCAAAATGTGGGTGTCGGCCGGGTCGAAGAGAAGAGGAATAATAATATATTTATTTAAAAAAATAACCACCTATAAACAAAAAAAACCAAGAGAGGCTTACAAAGCGGCACGGACACACGTCACTTGGCGCGCCTAAACGCTTAAACAAATCCAACTCGGAACGCTTTGAGCAACAGGCGACCGTTAATAACACTCTCTCTCTCACACACACGCACGAACATCGCCATTCGTTAAAGATGACGACGACGATGATGATGGTTAGACGCAGACGCCGCAGCTATTCCACTTAGGGCGCGCATTGAAGAAACCGAGCTTCGTGTGCGCGGCGCGGCAGGCCTCGGGAAAGCGGCGGCAGCAGCAGGCGTGGCGTTTTAGCAACATTAAAACAACCCCAAAGTTCATAAGACATCGCCGCCAGCGACTCAACACGAAGCGCCCGCGACACGCCGCTGAACGTGGAGAAAAGGCGCCGAGGGAGGGAACTGAGAGGCCGCTCACCTTCACGAAGAGTTCCACCACGGGCTCCTCGACGCCGCTCACGTCGGAATCTGCCATTGTTGTGCTCGCCGTGAGGGGGTCCCGCACCACGGGCGCGGCTGAGGCGAATTTATAAAATAGGATCGATTTTTTTGTTAAAGTTATTTAACAAAAAAAATAGTTGAGACTTTCTTCGTTGTTAGGGGCGGCGCCGCCAACCTTTTGGAAAGTTGTTCAAAAAAAGGGGGGTTGTGTGTGATGTGGTTTTTGTTTGTTGAGGGGGGGGGGGGGCCGAGTTGCTTCTTGCCGCTGCTGCCGCCGCCTCTTGGAGCTGCTTTGAGGAGTCGAGGAGAGCGGGAGACGGCGGTGGTGAGGGGGGCGGGGCGGGGGGTAAAGGGGGCGGGGCGTGGAGGGGGCGGGGCGTGAAACGCGCGGGAGATTCGCGTGGAATCCGAGGCGCGGCCTGGCGCGAGGCATAGGCGGGGCCTAGCCTCGTAATCTAATCAAATAAATACATTACATTATTACATAGCCCTTATATATGTGTGTACTTTATTATAATATAACATAGCCCTTATATATGTGTGTACTTTATTATAATATTACATAGCCCTTATATATGTGTGTACTTTATTATAATATTACATAGCCCTTATATATGTGTGTGTGTATACACAATATTACATAGCCCTTATATATGTGTGTACTTTATTATAATATTACATAGCCCTTATATGTGTGTACTTTATTATAATATTACATAGCCCTTATATATGTGTGTACTTTATCATATTACATAGCCCTTATATGTGTGTACTTTATTATAATATTACATAGCCCTTATATATGTGTGTACTTTATCATATTACATAGCCCTTATATATGTGTGTACTTTATTATAATATTACATAGCCCTTATATGTGTGTACTTTATTATAATACTACATAGCCCTTATATATGTGTGTGTACACATTATTACATAGCCCTTATATATGTGTGTGTGGGGGGTGTATGGGGGGGTATGTGGGTGGGGGGGGTTGTGTGGGGGGGGGTGTGGGGGGGGTATATGGGTGGGGGGTGTGAGGGGTTGTGTGGGGGGGTATGTGGGGGGGGGGTGTGGGGGGGGGGGTGGGGGTATGTGGGGGGGGGGGTGTGGGGGGGTATGTGGGGGGGGTGTGAGGGTATGTGGGTGGGGTGTGTGTGGGTGGAGGGTGTGGGAGGGGTATGTGGGTGGGGGGTGTGTGGGTGGAGGGTGTGGGGGGGTATGTGGGTGGGGGTGTGTGGGTGGAGGGTGTGGGTGGGAATGTGCATTGTGTCGCGTTGTTGTTTAAACGCTGCCGCCGCTCTTGCGATGTTTCACAACGTAGTTCCATCAACGTTTATCGACCCTCGTCGACCGACGGTGGATGGTGCGGTCGAGTCAAAGCAAACAGGGCTCGCAACATGCCGCTGTTGCGGGCCTCCGTGCGAGTCGATGGGTCTCTGTGTGAGTCTATAGGTCTCTGTGTGAGTCTGTGGGTATCTGTGCGAGTCTGTGGGTCTCTGTGGGAGTCTGTGGGTCTCTGTGCGAGTCTGTGGGTCTGTGTGAGTCTGTGGGTCTCTATGCGAGTCGATGGGTCTCTGTGCGAGTCGATGGGTCTCTGTGTGAGTCTATAGGTCTCTGTGTGAGTCTGTGGGTATCTGTGCGAGTCTGTGGGTCTCTGTGTGAGTCTGTGGGTATCAGTGCGAGTCTGTGGGTCTCTGTGGGAGTCTGTGGGTCTCTGTGCGAGTCTGTGGGTCTCTGTGGGAGTCTGTGTGTCTCTGTGCGAGTCTATGGGTCTCTGTGTGAGTCTGTGGGTCTCTGTGCGAGTCTGTGGGTCTCTGTGGGAGTCTGTGTGTCTCTGTGCGAGTCTATGGGTCTCTGTGTGAGTCTGTGGGTCTCTGTGCGAGTCGATGGGTCTCTGTGTGAGTCTATGGGTCTCTGTGTGAGTCTGTGGGTCTCTGTGCGAGTCTATGGGTCTCTGTGTGAGTCTGTGGGTCTCTGTGTGAGTCTATGAATCTCTGTGCGAGTCTGTGGGTCTCTGTGTGAGTCTATTGTTATCTGTGTGAGTCTGTGGGTCTCTGTGTGAGTCTGTGGGTCTCTGTGCGAGTCGATGGGTCTCTGTGCGAGTCGATGGGTCTCTGTGCGAGTCTGTGGGTCTCTGTGCGAGTCTGTGGGTCTCTGTGCGAGTCGATGGGTCTCTGTGCGAGTCTGTGGGTCTCTGTGCGAGTCTGTGGGTCTCTGTGCGAGTCTGTGGGTCTCTGTGTGAGTCTATGGGTCTCTGTGTTAGTCTGTGGGTTCTGTGTGAGTCTATGGGTCTCTGTGTGAGTCCGTGGGTTCTGTGCGAGTCGATGGGTCTCTGTGCGAGTCGATGGGTTTCTGTGCGAGTCGATGGGTCTCTTGTGCGAGTCGTTGGATCTCCGTGCGAGTCAATGGGCCTCTGTGCAAGTCTATAGATTTATATATCAGTCTATGGGTCTCTGTGTGAGTCTAAGGGTTTGTGTGTATGTGTGAGTCTATGGGTTTGTGTGTATGTGTCAGTCTATGGGTCTATGTGTGAGTCTATGGGTTTGTGTGTATGTGTTAGTCTATGGGTCTCTGTGTGAGTCTATGGGTTTGTGTGTATGTGTCAGTCTATGGGTCTCTGTGTGAGTCTATGGGTTTGTGTGTATGTGTCAGTCTATGGGTCTCTGTGTGATCCTATGGGTTTGTGTGTATGTGTCAGTCTATGGGTCTCTGTGTGAGCCTAAGGGTTTGTGTGTATGTGTCAGTCTATGGGTCTCTGTGTGAGTCTATGGGTTTGTGTGTACGTGTCAGTCTATGGGTCTATGTGTGAGTCTATGGGTTTGTGTGTATGTGTAAGTCTATGGGTATCTGTGTGAGCCTAAGGGTGTGTGTGTGAGTCTGTGGGTCTCTGTGTGAGTCTATGGGTCTCTGTGTGAATCTATGGGTCTCTGTGTGAGTCTATAGGTCTCTGTGTGAGTCTGTGGGTATCTGTGCGAGTCTGTGGGTCTCTGTGGGAGTCTGTGGGTCTCTGTGCGAGTCTGTGGGTCTGTGTGAGTCTGTGGGTCTCTATGCGAGTCGATGGGTCTCTGTGCGAGTCGATGGGTCTCTGTGTGAGTCTATAGGTCTCTGTGTGAGTCTGTGGGTATCTGTGCGAGTCTGTGGGTCTCTGTGTGAGTCTGTGGGTATCAGTGCGAGTCTGTGGGTCTCTGTGGGAGTCTGTGGGTCTCTGTGCGAGTCTGTGGGTCTCTGTGGGAGTCTGTGTGTCTCTGTGTGAGTCTATGGGTCGCTGTGTGAGTCTGTGGGTCTCTGTGCGAGTCTGTGGGTCTCTGTGTGAGTCTATACGTCTCTGTGTGAGTCTGTGGGTCTCTGTGTGAGTCTATGGATCTCTGTGCGAGTCTGTGGGTCTCTGTGTGAGTCTATTGTTATCTGTGTGAGTCTGTGGGTCTCTGTGCGAGTCGATGGGTCTCTGTGCGAGTCGATGGGTCTCTGTGCGAGTCTGTGGGTCTCTGTGCGAGTCTGTGGGTCTCTGTGCGAGTCGATGGGTCTCTGTGCGAGTCTGTGGGTCTCTGTGCGAGTCTGTGGGTCTCTGTGCGAGTCTGTGGGTCTCTGTGTGAGTCTATGGGTCTCTGTGTTAGTCTGTGGGTTCTGTGTGAGTCTATGGGTCTCTGTGTGAGTCCGTGGGTTCTGTGCGAGTCGATGGGTCTCTGTGCGAGTCGATGGGTTTCTGTGCGAGTCGATGGGTCTCTTGTGCGAGTCGATGGATCTCCGTGCGAGTCAATGGGCCTCTGTGCGAGTCTATAGATTTATATATCAGTCTATGGGTCTCTGTGTGAGTCTAAGGGTTTGTGTGTATGTGTGAGTCTATGGGTTTGTGTGTATGTGTCAGTCTATGGGTCTATGTGTGAGTCTATGGGTTTGTGTGTATGTGTTAGTCTATGGGTCTCTGTGTGAGTCTATGGGTTTGTGTGTATGTGTCAGTCTATGGGTCTCTGTGTGAGTCTATGGGTTTGTGTGTATGTGTCAGTCTATGGGTCTCTGTGTGATCCTATGGGTTTGTGTGTATGTGTCAGTCTATGGGTCTCTGTGTGAGCCTAAGGGTTTGTGTGTATGTGTCAGTCTATGGGTCTCTGTGTGAGTCTATGGGTTTGTGTGTACGTGTCAGTCTATGGGTCTATGTGTGAGTCTATGGGTTTGTGTGTATGTGTAAGTCTATGGGTATCTGTGTGAGCCTAAGGGTGTGTGTGTGAGTCTGTGGGTCTCTGTGTGAGTCTATGGGTCTCTGTGTGAATCTATGGGTCTCTGTGTGAGTCTGTGGGTTTGTGTGTATGTGTCAGTCTATGGGTCTTTGTGTGAGTCTAAGGGTTTGTGTGTATGTGTCAGTCTATGAGTCTCTGTGTGAGTCTATGGGTTTGTGTGCATGTGTTAGTCTATGGGTCTCTGTGTGAGTCTATGGGTTTGTGTGTATGTGTCAGTCTATGGGTCTCTGTGTGAGTCTATGGGTTTGTGTGTATGTGTCAGTCTATGGGTCTCTGTGTGAGCTTATGGGTTTGTGTGTATGTGTCAGTCTATGGGTCTCTGTGTGAGCCTAAGGGTTTGTGTATGTGTCAGTCTATGGGTCTCTGTGTGAGTCTATGGGTTTGTGTGTACGTGTCAGTCTATGGGTCTATGTGTGAGTCTATGGGTTTGTGTGTATGTGTAAGTCTATGGGTATCTATGTGAGCCTAAGGGTGTGTGTGTGTGAGTCTGTGGGTCTCTGTGTGAGTCTATGGGTCTCTGTGTGAGTCTGTGGGTCTCTGTGCGAGTCTATGGGTCTCTGTGTGAGTCTATGGATCTCTTGTGCGAGTCGATGGGTCTCTGTGCGAGTCGATGGGTCTCTGTGCGAGTCGATGGGTCTCTTGTGCGAGTCGATGGATCTCCGTGCGAGTCAATGGGTCTCTGTGCGAGTCTATAGATTTATGTATCAGTCTATGGGTCTCTGTGTGAGCCTAAGGGCCTCTGTCAGTCTATGGGTCTCTGTGTGAGTCTATGGCTTTGTGTGTATGTGTCAGTCTATGGGTCTATGTGTGAGTCTAAGGGTTTGTGTGTATGTGTCAGTCTATGGGTCTCTGTGTGAGACTAAGGGTGTGTGTATGTGTCAGTCTATGGGTCTCTGTGTGAGTATATGGGTTTGTGTGTATGTGTCAGTCTATGGGTCTATGTGTGAGTCTATGGGTTTGTGTGTATGTGTCAGTCTATGGGTCTCTGTGTGAGTCTATGGGTTTGTGTGTATGTGTCAGTCTATGGGTCTCTGTGTGAGTCTATGGGTTTGTGTGTAT